TGGTATTCTCAGAAATGCACACATAATCAAAACACAATTGCAAACATACACACAGAGAGCGAGCGAGTCTAGACCTCTCTCGAAATCTCCACAGAAACTCAAATAACAGCATAAATTCTGTTCAAGTACCTGACTGTGTTTATAACAAACATGTGTGGCGGATCTCTCTCTTGCTCTCTCCATTCTTTCCTGTTTGTTAAGTGCGTTTATATTGGGCTGAAAACATTTCTGGAGTTGTGCTTTGTTTGTGTCTGCTGGAGTCAGTGACCTGCGTGATGGATTTGTCTCTTTACTAAATCAAAATTGACGTGTAAATGTTTGCTTGCTGTAACTCAAGAGGTATAAACCTCAAAATACCAAGGTAAATAACTAAGATTTTTTTGAGTGTTTGTTGTTTAACGTATTTGTCGCTGTTGTCCAGGAGATGAAGGACGGTGTGTCTGTGATGTTGTTCCTGCAGATGCAGGGAATCTTGAGAGAAGAGTTGAATGGAAGTAAACTTAACCGATGTTATGAGACTAAAATGTAATTTTCGCGCTAATTCATTCCAAAAATCATGGCAACAAATGTTGGTAGGTTTATGTATATCGCAGCCTCCGCACTAGTCATTATTTTTAATCGAAGGAGACGTAGGCGTGTTATCCAAGCATTAATGGCAAGGAAAGCCCCTTATACTTAGGAGTATTTGGGTGTTTCTCCCTGCTTCTAGATATTGATAAATTGTGTCATTTCTTTGTTGTTTAGAATCCAGTATTCACGTAATTCTTTTGTCTTCTAACGGTCTCGTCTTCTATCCAAACATACCGCTCCATCTTTAAAGAATTATCGACTTTTAAGTCGACAGGTGACCTGTAACTGCAAAAAAATTGCAGTTTTGAAGTGTAATTGAAACGCAGCTTCTTTTAAACTTGAATTTCCTCATTACAGTTGCTCATAGTAAAATAAATAATACAAAATTATTTATGATTTGAACTCTCAAATTTCAGTTTGCATTAGCAGAATTTATGAAAAATAAAGACACGTTGTGTTGTACTACAGGGGCCCCCAAAGTGTTTATTTGGACACTAAAGTTACACATTACCAATGAATGTCTTTTTATAACAAAATGTAAAAACCAAGTAGTCTTTAAAGGAAAGAAAGAAAGGAAGACAGAAAGACAGAGAGCACAGCAACATTTTTCAAGATTTGAAATGATAAAACAACAGATATATTGTTTAAGATATAAGTTTTTTAACTTTTTGGTTGTCAGATTTCAGTAAAACCTTTTAATATGTTCACTTGTGGTTATTCTGACATTCAGAGAAAAATGTCTCAAGTTAGTTCTGAGAAAAGCTCTAGCATCACTTGTTTGGAAATGCCACTTCCTTTAATATGTTTTTATCTAAAGCAATAACATTAAGATATTTTTCAAGTGTGTCTTAAATGTCCAAATACTTTTTGAGCTGACTGTATATTTATATTCACTTAGTTTATATTTTAAAGGGTTTGTTTGCTTATATTGATTTGTGTTTTCCTTTGGCCTGAGGGTGCTTAAAGGAGTCCGGTTTTCTTTTTTTAATCTTTAACTCTTATGAAAGTTCAAACAAATCTGAATTCAGCATGTCTTTATTTTAAACACTAGGCTGTTCTTTTCTCACCAGAGTCTTTTTGTAGAACTGCTGTCTGCTCGGCCGTTCAGACGTACAGCCCCACTAAAACATCAGACTTCCTGTCCTTACTTTGCCATTTTTCCAAACGCGGTGAAGAGAGCGAGCAGAAAATGACATGACTGCACAGGAAACAACAAACTGAACATTATAGGCTGGTTTTTGCTTTCATGGAAAAATGTAAAAAATTGCTGCTTCAAGCTTCAGGTTGCCACTATTTTGTGGCTTGTCAGTTTTTGCCAGAACTGCACGAGTTCAGAGGAGGCCAAACACACACTCTCATCATCTCTCTCTTACTCCCTCGCTCGCTCTTACTTTTTAATTCAGTGTGCTTTCTTGGCATGACTTTTAACCATACAATATTGACAAATCATTCAGTCAGTACAGGATCAGGTACAAATAAATGTTCACACATAACACTGATGTGCAGCAACAAAGCAACCGGGAGTCATTAATTTTTCTTGTGAATTAGTTATTTCAGGTGTCTGGTGTTAAAAGTTTAATTGTATGTAGATGAGCGATGATGTTATGCAATGACTGGCATAAAAAGGAAGACATTGGACCACACGTGATCTGTCTCCTTTCAGATACTTGGCATAATGGAAAGATTCATGTGACTATAAGTAAATAATTTCACTATTCTATGTGTTTTGTTTCTGCACACCTACAGAAACAGACTGCTGCAATTTATATAAATACAATTAATTGTTCATTTTTAGCTGCAAAAGATTTTATCCCTTGTCGAAATAATAATTTTTTTTTATTTTATTTTTTTACAATGATTGTTATTTCTTATTTTTCTCTTGTATTTGTCTCAGTTGGGATAGTGTGACTTTAAACCTCACCTTGCAGTGATCAAATAGTTGTTCATGTGGAAGCCATGTTCGTAAAACGTGAACTCCCTCAGTGTCTCGGGTGGTTTTGATTGGCATATTTTCTGGGGTTGAGGGATTATTAAGGGATGTTTATAAAGAATAAAGAGCTTCAGGCTGGCCAACCAAACTGATGTCAAGTGCAGGGGAAAGTCTTTTTCCCCCTTTCCTCTGGGGGAAGAGAATGTTCGTGAGGCCGAAGGATTGCTTAGCGTGGCTTGGACTAATGATATGGTGCATGATTGCATGTGTGGTGCTCTTAAGAAAGAGAGTGTGTGAGAGACTAGAGGCTAAGCAAGGGGAAAAGTATTTTCTTTGCTTTCAGGTACTTTACCGTGCCATCAGTTTCTGTTATGTCTTTCCTTATGGGCCTGTTTCATTTCTTTCTCACCAATAGTTGTCTTAAGATAAATTTGAAGAGTTTTACTTTCCTTTGTTCAGATGAAATTGTACTTGTCATGTAAAATGTCTTCTCATGTATTCTAGCTTGAGCCCCTAAAGACATTGCATGATGAGACAAAATGCTGTGCTCCTAGTTTGTCCCTCACTCTCTGGTGCAAGGCGAACTTAACCAGAAACCAGAATTCACAGCATAGAAAAAATCGAGCCCAGTTATTGATCCTCTATAAAGTTCTTTCCATATGATTTTCTTCATGATTGTCTGATTTGGTGAAATCCTGTTTGTTCGGTTGCAAGGGGTAGTGAGTGTCTTATTACCCACCTTTAGATTTCCAAATGCTTGTCATTTTCTTGACACATGTTTTTAAATTCTTCAACAAATGTTTGCTTGTCCCCACACTCAATATCACCCTCTCATTATTTTTTTTTACAAAAGATTCTGTATTTTTGAAAAATGTTCTGTATTTTCAAAATGTGCATCTTGAGCATTTGATTTTTCTTCTGTCTTTTAGATCCTTAGCATCTAGGGTTTCTGTGATAACTGCCTTTCAGTCACTTTCATTCTCCCCTATACTGATCTCGTGTCATTAATTACATAGTTAGAAATGGGATCATAAGCCAAAGGTTAAGTCATAAAATTAACCCACACTATGGATGCATATAGAGTTAATCATCACTGCAATGCGGGACTCCCTGTTTCGAAGGCTTGATTGATTAATAATAAGAACAATTTTCAAGCATAACCAAACTTATTTGAGTGATTCAAACACGCAGGTTGCAGTTGCATATCTACAAATGTGTTTTTAGGTCATGCAGAAGAAATATATTTAAAATGCGTCTGTATAACATTGCTTAAGAGACATACATGATACTATTGCAGAAAATTGCAAATATTGCAAATTATTTGCAGCCTAGAAGGATTTAACACTTGAGGGGCAGTATGAAATCAGACCATGATACCTATGTTGTAGATCCATTCTGTGCAAGTTTGTTTGGATGTATCGTTGAATCGTTATCCTTGGTAGATAGACATTATAAATGTGAATCATTGTGTACTTAAACCTGACCTTAGAAGCCCCTTCACTGAGGGATCTTGCTAGAGTGATTATGAATGTCATGTGTCATGGAAATCTGCCTTAGATGTGCTGGATCTCCATCCTGCTTGGCTGGTATATTTACTGGATGACTCGTTTCCTTTCTAAACCCCGAAGTACCGCTGCCTGCCTCTCACACCATAAAATTATGGGATTATGAAAGTATTATAACAGAATTCCTGCAATCCACACACAGCAGCTCATTCATTTAGGCCCGTCTCCATGTTGGTGGGCCTGCCAGTTGAACTGTCATATTGAAATGCACTTTAGATCAAGTTGTATAAAATGTTGTAGTACCTCTGGACCTGCTGTTACTATGTGGGCTTTCATTGTATTTAGTGGAATATTTAATAAGGCATGGGGTTTTACCAAAACAACTGACAGCTATCAAGACATTCTGCATTAGTCTTAGTAAGAGTCATTTTGAGTCATCATGAGATTTTGATTGGTAGATTAAAATTATAAGCTGTAAATTAGTGAGAGACAGTGGCTCATAGCGTCACAATTTTATTTTTAATTTGAGGAGGCACTGCTTGTAGACTACTTATAGTGTGCGTTGCTGTGGCCAGAACTGTCTTGGCGCGTAAAACGTTCTAAATCTTGTTCAGGATGTGATCCTGAGGATGTGATTAAGGGTGGCTGTCACTATGAATGTTGCCATAGAGACGGGCACATGGACAGAGGCCAATGTCAGTGAGTTGTGCTGCTGTCAGCAAAAGTGCAGCAAAAATCGATGCTGAAATTATCATAGGTTGTGATGACGGCAAACAAGACAGTGGATGTTCCTTTGTCCTTTGCCATCCTTTTCCCCTTTTCGAGGTCTTCATTTGCTTAGTGTCCTAATCTAATCCAATCATTCAATTAATTTGAAATCTGTAAACAAAATTTGGGGAATTAAATATATTTCTCATTATTTTTTGTGATTAATCTATCTTTATCTTTAATTATTAGGCACTCACACTTTCTGTTTCTTTCTTTTTGTCTTGCAGGTGACCAAAACTCACTTGGATCACTAGGGATAGTGGAGACAAGGTGGAAATAAAATTAAAAAAAATATCCAAAACTTCCCCCTAAAGGTAAAAGGAAGACAAAGGGACCTGAACTTTGAATCTTCGATTTATTCTTAAGAGTCCTAGAGCCACTTAGCAAACACCACCATACAAATGTGTACCCCTCTATCAATCAATCATAAAGACCTCACATTAGACTAGTATCAGAAAGAAAAAATGACAGACACAACAAATCGCCATCTGAGGCACAAGTTGCAGAGCTTAGGACGACGTCTGGATGAGCTTGAAGAGGCCAGAGGAAAACTACAGAAAGCTGAAGATGAACTTCTTGACATTCAGGACAAAATCATTCAGGCTGAAGGGAGTAATTCCTCACTGCTCGCAGATGTGGAGACAATGCGGAAGAGATTGCTCAAAATTGAAGGCAAAGATGAAGAGGTCAGAAAAGCAGAGGATCTTTGTCGGGACGTTAGGGAGAAACTAGATCAGGAGGATAAACTTACCAAGGATCTTAAAGTGGAGATTGAGCGTCTTCAGCGCAGAATGTCTGAACTTGAGAAGCTTGAAGAGGCTTTTGGTAAAAGCAAGTCAGACTGTACCCAGTTGTGCCTTAGTCTTAATGAGGAGAAAAACCTGACCAAAAAGCTTGCAGCAGAGCTTGATGCCTTGAAGGCACGTGTAAAGGAAGTGGATACCTCTGAAACTCGACTGGACAGGGCAGAAAAATCCCTTACAGCAGAGATGGAGAAACTAAAGAGTCTCACTCAGACATTTGTGAATGAACGCAAACGACTTCTGGAAAGGCAGAGAGAGGATGAGAAAATCATACTCAAGCTGACAGAGAAGCTTGAACGTCAGAAAAACAAACTAGGCACAGCAGACCACAGCCGATTTGATTCTAGAGATCTTCGAATTGAGGATGAGTTCTCAACAGGCCTTACATGCAAACTGGCCAGGAAGAAGAGTTTTGAATACTTAAAGCATTCAGATGACCTAGATTTGAGAAATGAGTCAGAGAATGAAAAAAATAGCTTAGAGGGACAGGAAGACAATAAGGTAAAAGACCTCAGTCAGGAAGTGGAAAGATTGAAAAATCGTTTGAAGCAAATGGAGTTAGTGGAGGAGGACTTGAAAAACGTGGAATCCAAGAATGCTGAACTGATAGAAAAGTACCAGCATGAGAGGAACCGTAGTCAAGCTCTCCATGACCAGGTTGAGCAGATGAAACAGCAGCTCAATGGTTGCAGCAATAGTAATGGAAACTCTGCAATTAGCAGCATTACAAAGGCCCTGGAGAATGGCAAGGCGGAAAATGAGGAGATCAATGTACGAGGAGGCTTCAGACAGGAGACACCTAAATTCCTAAATAGGAGCCCTGCTACTTCTGAATCAGTCATCTCCAAGTACAAAAGCAGAGAGGCATCTCCTCAGCAGAGGCGAGAAACTAAACTGAGGAACAAAGACCTTTGTCACTCCACAGAATGCTCCCCAAAGACTGTACGAAGGACTCTTAGTCCAGCACATAATGTTAGGAAAGGTTTGAAGACTGGTGCTTCCAGTGCTGTTTCTGACAATGAGACAAAAGATGGCAAGAAAGAAAAAAAATGTGGAAGTGGCTCATCAAGTGCTCTCAGTGAAAGCAAGAAAATGTCAGTCCTTAGTCGCTATCCTCCAGCTGCTAATGACCAAAAGCCTTTGAAGCCATCGGTCAAGCAAAATGACAGTGATAGCAAGAGGAATCAAGCGGAAAAGTTGTCCAGGTACCCTGGAAGTGATAATGAATCCAACACTTATGATGGGGCAGTCTTAATATCAGCCAGGGCTGCTATCATTGCTTCATCTGAGAAAGGACTAAATGAACCTGAGAGTTTAGATCAGGATGCTTCTGCAATGTTGAGTCTGTCCAAGGCAAACGGATCCTATACTGCTTACAAGTCTCAAGTATCACCATCTGTTCTGAGTGATCACGGTTCTGATGGTCACTCCTCAGCCTCTGAAACCGAATCCACTGGCTCCAGGCGATCGGCAGGTGAGCAAAGTGACCCCCTGATATCAAGTGCAAGTGGAAGAACATCATCAAAGTACACCAGATACTCACGACTGCAAGAATCTTACTCTGATGGTTCCTCAAAGGGCCCCTTTGGTGAGGAGCAACACAGGCCTCTTACGGTAGAAGGGGATACCCAAGAGACTATGCATACTACCTCAGGTATTGAGATCCGCAGGGTATGCAGCCCTCGTGAAGCCCTCCGGTCAAAAGCTGTCATCAAGCAAGCCATTGTTGAGATTGACAGGAAGGAAGTGATGTCAGGGGGAATCACAGAGCCTTTGACTACCAGTGGAAAGCCAAAGATCTCCACTAAGCCAGTATTGACTAGCAAGATGACCAGCAGTATCACCTTCTATCCCAATGATCCCAGCTCCTCTCGAACAAGCAGTCGGAGCAGTAGTTTGTCAAGCGAGCCCCCTTCCAAGGAAAGGCACACTTCCACTAGTAATATTGTCATCGGCCCCAGCAGTGAGCATAGGGGTAGCATCTCTATACCTTACGAAATATCCATCCCTAAGAGTGAGATCACTCTGTGTCAAAGTGAGACTGATGCAGACCTCTCTGAACCTCACAGTTACCTTGAGACCACTCCCGTGGAGGCAGCCCTCCTGTCTCAAAGTAGCTTCAGCCTCCAGGCTTCAGATGCTTCAGACTTTAATAATGACATTGAGTCTGGGTTTGAGAGCAGCAGTAGCAGCACCACTGTGACCAGCTGGAGAAGCCACCGTCAAAACCACCACTCATATGATGACAGTTTGCCAGAAATGAGAAACATCACTGTCAGGAGCACTTGGAGGAGCCGTGGGGCAGCTTCTGTGGATGAATCTGCTCGAGCAATAAGGCAAGATGGCTCAGAGGATGAGGGCGAGGCTGCAACCACCTGGAGAGCATATAGGGCAACTACCGTGTTGGACACTCCATCAAACACTAGCACTGTTGCTAACTTTGGAGGTAAACCAAGCCCAGCCGAGGTATACATGCGTAGGATCAACAATGCAGTGGCATCTATCCCTGAACAAGGACGAAGGAACAAGAAGACTTCTTCACCAGAGAGGGCTATTGCACATGAGCCTGTCAGCGCCCAGCAACTTCAACCAAGAGGCCGTAAACAACCCATGGTGAGTACTGACTTTTTACCTTTTGCCCATTACTAATAATGTAGATTCCAGAAGCGTACTGTAAGTGATTTGTTCTGTCCACCAATGGTTGTTTTTCACTGTGAGCGCCGTGAAATCTTAAGATAAAGATAAACGGGAGCATAAAATATGCTTATGAAAAATATCTGGTCATTTAGATCCAATCTTGTATGTTTGTTCTATTTGTAGTTTGTTTTGTCCTTTAAAGGTAGGGTATGGGGTTTGCAAAACGGCCGGCAGATTTTGAAAATACACAGCTCAAAAGGTCCTACCTTCTTTCCTCTTACGCTGGCCCTGACTCCACCCATTCGAAGAACTTGGATGCGCAATCATGCATCTGCAAAACTCAGATGCGCAGATTGCACTTACTCTCTCTCTCTCTCTCTCTCTCTCTCTCTCTCTCTCTCTCTCTCTCTGTGTACCGGGGCGACTTGCACATACTGTGACTGGGTCACGAGCTTTGAGTATGCGCACGAAGGGGACACGCGCGGGGGGATGGGGGATGGTACGACCGTTTGATTGACGCACTTACAGTCCAATGATTCTAGGTGGTCTTGGAAATGATTGGCTGGAGTTTTTCGAGTCCTGCCCGTTCCACAGATGATTAAATTGCTTAATTTTTATTTCAGTGCTTCTAACTCAGTGGCTGTAAGTGGGTTAGGAATAGGATTTCAAGTGATTTTGAAAAAAAAATTGTCAAAAAAGAAAATCACATACCCCACTTTAAGTTCTGTGTACTTGTCCTACCACCTGTTAATGATCTCAGTAGAGCCTTTAAGTCTGTGCACATATTTGGTGCCACCATCTTGATTAATATTTCTTAGCCATGGAATTTAACACATTTGTTTTCTAAAAGTTTTGTTTGATTTGGAAGTCTTCCTTGTAATCCTCTGCATCTGGAAGAAGGTGAAGTGGACAGATATTTTGTAAGCATGAAGTATTTTTAGATCATTCTCCATCTGCTGAAAGAGAAAAATAGGCCCTTGAGGTATCTCTCTCTTCTGTTTTCTTGATATGAATTTGAATATGACGTAGTACACTACATGTTTTTTTATTATGTGTATAAATAAAGCTGTTTTTTTCTAGTAACATTTGAGTGTAGTATTAGATATTGATACAGTACATGTGAGAAGGGTGTTAAAAGCTAATGACAAACAGGTCACAGATCATGCTTTTGTTTTTAGAAAAGCTGTTAGTCAGGTCAACTGGCAGTTCTTGTCTCAACAGCTAAACCAATTTGAGTCTGGCGTCACCCCAGCAGTCAAAACAAGATAGGGAAAGCCGACCCTTTTCACCAGCTTTCACTCTTTTTCACTTACTGAGAATACAAGAAAGAGAATAGAGCTGCCCCTATCAGAGCACCAATTACCATCATCCTCTCATTAAACATCTCAAACAGCCCAGCCTTCAAATTTACCCTCAAAGATCTAATTAAATCACTGAGATGGCCCTCAAACATGGCCCCCTCCTGGCACACGACTTTAAAAACTGCCCCTTCTTCATTCTCCCTCTCTTTCTGGCTTCTCACATTCTATTTCATGCCATGTTTGTTTTCTTTATCTATTGTTCTGATGGATGGCAAATGTCTGATCATTTATCTGAGAAAGCTGAAAGATTTATGCACAAGTGAATTCTAGCACTTGCATAAGCAGAGGTCAGATCATTTGTCTTACTCCCTTCTCTCTATCACCCAAGGTTAGTTTTCTTTGTACTACAGATGGTTCTTCATGCTGTCATTGCAGCTGTAAGTTAATATACTGCTATTGTGATCACATTCACTCTTATTTTTCTCTGTTGGGGATTCTCCAACATGAATCTTTTATCTTTTTTATCTTTAAAGCATCTGTAGAAGTGAATGTGATTTGTACCATACAACTTTAAACCTTCTTTACCAAGAAATTGTAATTGGAAAAAAGAAAAAGTTGGTTCCAGAGAGTAAAGATATAGATGGATGTTTCTTCCACTATGAGCATTTTTGGCCTTAAACACACTCCCAGTAGTTTATTTTTCTATACACATTCTTTACAGAAGAATTATAATAATAATTTCAGTCAATAATTTCATGTAATTTCAGTCCTTTTTCTGAATGACTCAATTTCCACTACAGTGTTATTACCACCATAGTAGCGATGGAAATTACATTTTTAATTTTTTTTTAATAAAATTATGTAGAATTTTATGTATACTAAATATACAACTGATTAATATTTTCAAACTTTTTTTGCATAATTTGACAAATCTTGTTTTTTTTTGGAAATGACAACTGATTAAGCCGTAATTTGTGTAAAGCGTTGCAGTTTTTTACATAAAAAATATTGAATTTATTTATGCTTATTTCACTTGTTTAAGTAATTATTATTTTAAAATTTTTATATATTTTTTATAATGAATTATCATAGTTTTAGTATATAGAAACATAAAATAAATGAATGCCCTTATTTGAAGAAGCACCCACATATTCTCAGTCTAACAGGCTTCAACAACTGATTGAAAACAAACTTCATCCATTCCCACTCAATCTGGAGTCCATTAGGAAGGATTTATCTAATCAACCATGGTCAGGCATGCATTCAGCTTTATCTGCAACTCATGTGATTTCTTTTTCCCCCTGAATTTAGACTAATCTTCTCAATAAATACCTCACTCAGGGTTATCACAATGATTGTGACACACACAAACAACATGATCAATGTTTAAATGAAGAAACCCTTTAAACTTAGAATTTGGTTTGCTTTTCAGTTACTTGTAGATTATTACGAGTTACATTGTAAAACTAGTAAATGGAACGGAAGAAAATTACCATCACAATTGTGAATGCAGTATTGAATTGTTGATCACTTTATTTCTATTTATTTCTCTGGACCCGTATCATTCCTTTTTATCTCTGCGTACTCTACAGTGGAAATAGCTTGACCATGGGTGTCTTTATTTAAACCTTCAGACAGATTTCCAACTGTCTTATACAAGATCAATACCAGTGATTTGAGGAGATTCAATCCGTCCATCAATGATGCTGTGTCGTTGTGCTGACAGAGGCAGAGGTTTTATCTCCTCCATAATTAATGAAGGCACATGTCCAGGACTGTCCTCGAAGATCAAGGTCATCTGTTTCATGTCTCTGACACAAAGCCTATGTGAGTCAAATATATGTGCTGAAGTCATTAATACTCCTGCTGCGAGGAGAGTTGTATAAAGTAAAGTAATCCCGTTCAGCCAGATGTCATGTTATGTTTAGAGCTGGAATGACTTTTCATCCGTGCTTAGAAAATTACACAAATCTGGAGGGATTTATGGAGGAATTTTTATCACAGGTTCATTCTGTTTTCTTTTATTATTTTTTTATTTATTTTTTTCTAGAAGTTAATATGGGAAAATAATGCTTATGCAGTCAACCATTAGCTGCTTACTAATGTAGAGTACTGAAAGTGACTATCTGCCGTATAATAGCACTTTGCTTAATGGCACCTGTGTTGTGTGATTTAAAGTCTTTTAAAATCTTGTCTGGACAGTCACATTGTGAATTTGTGATCCCTTTTATGTTCTTTCACTTTGGGTGTGCTTTTATCTTGTTAAATGTCTCTTAATGAGGAGACACTTCCAACTAAGTAAAGGAAAAAATAGTGCATTAGCACTAAAAATAATTTGTTAATAATTTGTATTCATTTGTAGTGTTCCCAAAAATGCATAAATCTTACAAGAGTACAAGTAGTGTAATTTGGCAATACTATACATTAAGTTTTAGAAGGTAATACTATAGTACTTTAATATACAGTATGGCATGGTATTGAAATGATAATGTGAATCAAAGTATTCTTTTAAGCAAGCAAGCAACTTTATTTATATAGCACATCAAACAACAGACGTTGCCCCAAAGTGCTTTACAAAAAGGATGACATTAAAATCATACATTAAAACGAACATTACTTATTAAAAAGCTAAAGAAAATAAATACGTTTTTAAATAAGACTTAAGTGTCAATTGATGGAGCTGACCTCACGTGGAATGGGAGACTATACCAGAGTTTGGGACCTATCAAGGAAAAATCACGATCTCCTTTTGATTTTAAATGACAACGATGGACCTTTTAAAAGCCGTTGATCTGAGAACCTGAGGAGAGTAGAGAATAATAAGATCACTGATGTACTGGGGGGCAAGGCCTGATAGGGCCTTGTAGGCAAACAGGAGAACTTTAAAATCATTCCTGAATTTAACAGGAAGCCAATGTAAGGATTACTGTACAGGGGTAATATGGTCTCTCTTTCTCACCCCCGTTAAAAGCCTTGCTGCTGCATTTTGCTCTAACTGTAGGCGGAGTAGTATAGTCTGGGGGAGACCAATATATAAAGAATTACAATAGTCAATCTTTGAGATAAGAGTTAACCACAATTTCCAAATACTTACTGGATAGAAAATACTTTTACTTTAGCAATTGATACCATAATTACCCCTAAACTTTTTACATGATGTTCAATCATTAAAGACCAGGAACCTAAATGATCAGGAAAGGTAGGTGAGATGGGAGAACCTACAGTCAAAACCTCAGTTTTACTCTCATTTAATTAGAATAAGTAACTAGAAAGCCATAGTTTAATGTCACTGTAACATTCCTGTACTTGTCAAGCGAACCGGTTTTATCTAAGCTCACAAGAAAATAAAACTGGAGATCGTCGGTGTAACAATGGTACGGAATACTATACTTCCGAAAAATAGTGCTTAGAGGAAGAATATACAGAGAGAACAGCAACGGTCCCAAAATCGACCCCTGAGGAACACCACAAACTAAAGGGGCCATTGTGGAAGAAAAGTCTCCCAGATTCACAGCGACTGTTCTGTCTTTTAAATATGAGGCAAACCACTAAAGGGCTGTACCCTGGACACCAACCCAACACTCCAGATGGTTGAGAAGAATCTCATGGTCAATCGTATCGAAGGCAGCGCTTAGATCTAATAAAACTAGAACAACATATGATCCTGAGTCCAACGATAATAATATATCATTAGTGACCTTGAGCAATGCAGATTCTGTGCTGTTCCCCTTTAAGTATCTTGTAAATCCCATATTACCTTTTTTGGTACTTTTTATTGTATTTTAATTTAACCAATTAGTGTATTTCTTAATAAACTAACTACTAACTAATAATTTTAATTAAAAAAATTAAAAAATAAAGTTTTTAGGAAACAGTAGTTTAACTCAACTTACATAACTACAGACTTACATAAACGCATACTTGAATCACATGAAACACACTGGTAATAAAATAGTGGAATTTATTGAATTAGCTTTTATTAAAACCTTTCCAGAATGTCTTGTAACAGGCCTCATGTTCTACTCTTGGTACTGAGTACATAAATGCTTGACCTGTGTTAGATACCTTTTCTTTTTTTTAAATAAAACAAAACAAAACATTTGCCATTTCAGCACAATCACAACTATTCTCATAATGTCTTTTAGAATTCATGTAACATGGACTTACATGGAACCCATTCCGTCATGACATCTTTTCTTTAAGATTGTGCTTTGGTCGTTTCCACCCGTTGCCCCTTCCTGAGTGACACGGGAAGTTGCAAGGTTGCGCCTGCCCATTTGGCAGCCGATGCATCGTAACTGGTTTCCTGTACACCCACCTCTAGTATCCCAGCAGGCCTCAAGCCCTATTATGGACAATTAGCATCTGTCTGCAGCGTACGAAATTCCACAGCAGTGTGTGGCATATCCTGCTGCCTCATTTGGGAACTTTTTATAACTGACGTCATAAACCATTTGGTTGGCTGTGTAAAGTCTCCACCTTCATGGTAAAGAAAAGAGACAATAGCTGCTCTATATTGGGACTTGTTCTGCGGTCTGTGCAATTTCTCTCCTCTGACGTGTCCTATAAGAGTGATCTGTACAAAAATTACGAATTTTTATACTTTTGTCGGAATGGACCATAATAATATTTTTTGGAACCCAGCAAATTTACATGAAGTACACATTTTCCCACAGACACTGAAAACCTGGAAATATAAGAGAATTTTAAAACACTGATTCTCGTGCCTGGAAAATTTGTGGAAATGAATGTTAAAGTCATGGAAAACGTCCTGGCCATTTCTATTGTAAATACTTTATTATTATAAAGTACATTTGTTTATTCAAAAAATCTCTTTGTCAGTCTGTGAAACTCTATACAATTAATCCTATGCAATACACAATCACAGTAGGAACGTTACAAATAAGTCATTGGTCATGATTATTATTATGAGTATTAGAATATCATGCAAGAATATTTTTTTTTCTGCCCTAATGTCTTTAAGCAGGTTCAACCTGTAATGGCGGTTTTTATACTTCACACGCTCTTAACGCATTACTGCACCATCAAGAGATTTTTATTTTTTGAAAGTGCATTTCATTTGCTTTAAATTCCTGTCACATTTTTCCGCTCAAATAAGGGAATCTTGTGTCCACAGTATTAACTTATCAATCATATTGCGTATAATAGATAAAATAATCATGGTCAGGCAATTATGTGATTGTAACAGGTCTTCAGAACATGACAGAATTTGGTGGATAAATAGAAGAGCACTATTTAAGTGGAAAGTTTTGAGTCTATTGGAATCATTAGTATACTGTATAACATTTGTTGTATGTTTGTTCTCTTCCCAGTCATCGGATGATGGAGAACCTGTTCCGTCCTCATGGCGAAGGCAGCCCACAGGTGACGTGGACCCGTACGATAGGCCTGGTAGTCGTGGAGCTTGGTCTAGCAGAAACCGCACAGCCGATGGAAGCCGGTCGTGGTCAAACCGACATCTGGAAAATTGATCCAAATTGCCCACATTTCCAACTAGGTATGCGTCTTCTTATAGCCATATTCAGTTAAACTTATCAAAAGCTAGAGACCAGAGGATTCTGGGTTATACTTAATTAAAGCAAGCTAGAAGCTAATTACTCAAATGTTAATGAGTCCTGACCTAAAGTGTCCTTGTGTGTTTTTATTACCTCAGTTCTTACATCTCAAAGCAGCCCCTGTGTGCAAGGAATGAAGCTCATCCCATCTCTTCAGTTACGCCATGTCTTTAATAGACCCATCAGCTGATCAGAGTTCCAGGTAGACCCCAAAAGACCCCTGGGAACCTTGTCATACTCATACATCAACCTGTATGAATTCACTATCTTCCAGCTGTCGCTTTGGGAACGGAAGTCACATGGTCCTACAGCGATGAATCCTCTTCTGCTCCTCGTAGTGTATTAAAGTCGTCAGACATGACAAGGGAGAGGTGCAGACATGTGACTGCCTTGATGTTGGGAATATGTGAAAGGGGCTTTGGGTAATTGATCAGCATTTTGAGAACCCCACACAGACCTTTCTGATGCCACAGGTCTTGAACTCCATGTGTTATTCTCACAACGAGCAAGTTACAGCTTGTGGCTTCTCAATTATCTCACAAGTTTGTTTGTTTTTTCATTGGGATTATTGCACACAGCTAAAATGCATTGATTATCCAGGCGAACACACATAGGTGTATACATATTTTTTGTCTTGTGTCTTAGGAGCCAGTAGTGTCAGCCACATTCTTGGAGTAAATGCTAAGGCCAACATTCTTCATTATACATTGATGTAAATATGCCCAGTTGTCCAAATTTATTTGATCTCATTTGTAATTTGCTCCTTGAATCTGATCATGTCAATTTATTCTGTTATTAGTTTGTCTGTTTCCTTCATCTTCTGTTATTAGTTTGTCTGTTTCCTTCATCTTCTATTTAACTGGATTTGATGATCTCACAACCAGCATAGCGAATGCACAGGGCCACCAACACTAAACGTTTTTAAGAAAAGCTGGGAAATGCATCTGCATGTTGACCTTTCCCCATCTCAGAAGCTCTGAAGGGATGCTGGCTTTGGATTCCAAACCACTGGAGAAGAATCCGATCACCTAGAGCTCATCTCGATGTGACCTTGTCCATCTGGGTAGCTAACTGGGATTAACCCAAATTCTGGACATTTATAGAGGATTTTCAGAGCCGACTCTTTACAGCCGCTCTACTCTACTCGCTAACTTTGCACAGAAAGACAATGATCCGAACTCTCTTTGTGTCACAGAAAACCAGCGTTTGGTTTTCTGCTGGTCCGAGTCAGTCTAATAACCCCCTAGACGGGTTGTGTTTTCATGTTATTTCAGCCATAGAGCTTGTTGAGCCTTGAGGGTGGCTAGCATGACACCACAGAGGATCCAGAATGCTTCAGTTAGGAATGCCTATGCCTGGATAAATGGCCTCACCATCGAAAACATCGGAATGCACATCACTTTGTCCTCGTGTGGTTAGAACTTGTTGAAATATAATTGAATAGAGCTGCTGCAGTTGAAATGTTGTGTACTGTTTCTATTAGGTTTTAAACTCCAGTTCAGTGCCACCAACGATATATTTTCTTATTCCTGCTTCGATTCCTTTTGTCCTCGTACTCTACTCTTGAGTGTCCGTGTGTAGTAATATCTCTCTTATCCAATACCTTGAATCGACGATGATGACAAAGGGTCAATTATCCATCAGTCACTGGAATGTGGGATGTTTTACTTTTCTGTTTGTTTTAATCTAATGCTGTATGTGTAATGTTGTTCTGGGGGTTGATGTTCAGGCGTCTCACTCGGTTATTACAGATTTAAAAAGATCCACACCTCACCATCACGGTCAGTTTTGCTTTGTTTTGGTGTCCTGTGCTTCTGTGTCCTGAAAAGTTATTCATCCCTTTGACTTGGGCTGGATGGAGTCTTTGAAACAAAAGTGGAAATTTCTGTTTGTCTATCAATTTATCTTTTTTATTTAAGTCATTCTAATGAATTTGTAATTGCACTTAAATCATTAAAACAGCCTTACAAAAGTAAGAAAACAGTCTAGATCTTTCTGGAAATAAGTTATTTCTAATGTATAAATAATGTTCTCCGCTTTGGTTGTCTCTACACATGATTGATGTGGCTTAACAGCAAAATGTATTGCTTGCATAAGTTAACACCACATTTGGCTAAATAATATTGCCAACCAACTTAAAACGCATTTCATTTTCTACACTAAGCTGCCCATACAAAATGTATTTGTATATGTTTTATTAAAGTTTTTGAATAACTTCGGGCGGCAGTTTGGCTTTGTACTTCTCAAATTTGCCTTACTTTATTCTGCACAGTAAAAACAAACGTTTGTCTTTCCAAATGAATATCCCAGACTTCACCTCTACTTCCTGTTCAGGGGTCTTGGGCTGAAGCGAACACGCTGGCTCCTGTATCTCGTGCCCTTGCTTTCTCAGAATACCCTAGTGCCCTGGGCTGCTGTAATCCAAGCTGCCGGTCCCTAAAGCGATTTTATTGGCTGGCTAAAGAAGCGGCAGCAGCAGGCCTGATATACGGTCCCTGGGTTGGTTTCAGGTCGGAGGTCAGCGCTGCATTTGATGGCCTTATAACTTCTAAGGGAGGAAGCGGGACCAGCTGGCAGCAAATAAAAAATAAAAAGTGAAAGAGGAAGCAGAGTGGGTGACCGGGATGGTGTCCATGTGTGGTACCAAGAAGAACCAGGAGGGTCAGCCAGGATTCTGTAGGGATGGAAGGTTTTAGCTGTTTCCCAACTTCCGCAAATAGTTTTAGGCATTATGAATTGTAAATCCCTTTATAATAAATTTGTGCCCACTCAAAGCTTGCAAACATGATCCTAAAACTGCAGCATGACCCAGATTGATGTGATGATATATAGCGAGTCTGTACTGGAAATACCAGCAGACTACATCTCCCTTCCCAACCCCCCGGCCAGGCAAAGGTCTCAAGGTTGCTCTGTGGCTTCAACGCACGACCACAGCTGTCGGAAAACATAGATTTTATGCGCTCACAAGACAGTCCAGAGTTTCTGAAAGTTGTTTTTTTTTTTAAAGAGGCCGACTGAAACCACAATTCTCAAGGAATTCTTCTTCGTTTCTCAACCCCATTTACTGATGTGTCAATGTGCCATTCACCCTCAGAAGTCATCTAACACACTAACTTCTCTGATTTTCTTTCCTCCACTTCTGTCTTTAGCTCTCTGTGGAAATAATCGGTGTGAGATTTGGTTACACATCTCAGAACAGATCAAAGTTTCACATATTGTTCGTTTAAAGAACTAGCTAAATCATGAAAATACGTATTCCTACATCAAGATTTTCCCATCACTTTTATGGACATTTTAGCTAGCCAAACTTAACCTAGCTATGACACAGGAAGCATTACCATGTCTAGCTTCTGACAGCTTCTGAATGGTTTTTAATCATTTCTAGTGCCAATTTTCTAAACCTTAAAAGTAGTTGTATTTATTGTATAAAAGCCATTTCTAAGCAATAAAGTAATATTGAATGCACATAAGAGAACATTTGAAGGCTTTTTACATGTGCCTGCATTATAAGCTGGCATTGGCCTTAAAAGGTCAAAAATAGATCAGTGTCATGAAATATCACACTCCAGATTCTGCACTTAACCAGCACTTAAATTACTCTTTTACCCCTTTCCCTAACCTTTATAGACTTCATTTTCTAATATGCCTGTTTTTCCCTATTCTTTTTTAAATCACTCCCCAATTAAGTGAATGTACAGCCATCAAAGATGTGTAAATATGTACATGTGTTTTGTGCACTGGCCAGAATAACAGAATAATTTCACCTGCAGCATTACTGTGAGACAGCTCTTGTATTTTTCTGGGTTGAGAGATAGACTGTCCACATTATTTGTACAGATTGCAAAGTGTTTTATTTTCATTTGTGTCATCATTATATTTTTTTCCTGTAAGGCCAAGTGCTATATATTTCAGTTGACACAATGTGCCAAGAATCATTCCAAGGTATTTGTGTAGTTTACTTGGAAACAAATGGCTTCTTAAAAGAAATTATGAAATTAAAAGGGTAAATATTTCTTGACAAGCTTTTCCTTCTGTTATCTGCCTTTTTTCCAAACTACAATCAGATAGTTTTATTTAAAAGTATCTTGTAATTTTGTAAAGAGGGCCATGTTTAAGATATGTGAAGATCCCCCCCCCCCCCTTCTCTTTTTTTATTGTGTAGATGTGTACCTTATTGGGCTCCTGGAGAGTGTTTTTTTTTATTATTTTGAATTTCAATCTTATGTTTTATTAATTTCTATGAACTATTAAAGTTAGACTCAGTTAAAAGTGTTAATTAACCAGCTTTTCGAACGTTGCCAACTTGTGCTTTTTTCTATCATTCTAAGAGAAGTTTCTGGGTAAAGTGTTTATTAAATGTAAGATGGATATGTTGAGCCAAGGGCTCAGTATGGTTCAGTTCTGTACTGTGCTCATCTTTTAACAACTGCTCAGACTGGGTTTCCCTTCTGTTCGTTCAGGGTTCATTCATCTCCTGTGCTGTATTAAAAGCGCTGCCAAAGACAGATTTCAGGCCTTAACACATGCCACACACAGCAACTGAATTTAAGTTCACTGATACTTTCTTACACGGTCTCTAACACACTGCACATATAAATACAGGCCTGCATAGTTAAAGAAGGGAGACATGGTGTTTTTCTGGTAAAGCAGTTTGTAAATGGCTGTCAAGCAGATGTTGGTATAGAGTGAACCTGCGGTGAGGACACAGGTGAACATGCTCATTGTATTCAGCCTCAGTGTCAGCAATAACACACACTCTGTGTTTCAGGCTTACACCTTTGTACTGTAATATTTGTGCATGTTTCAGCATTGTGCATGGAGCTAGACATCTCTTTAGGCTGAACTGCAGACTATATGTATTCCAGCTAATATAATAAAAAAGCAACTTGTTTGTAAAAGGTTTGGCTTTGTGTGTTTATGTACTGATTTATTAAATTCTCTTTTTTTTTCAGGTCATTTGATTGCTAAAACTATAAACATGACTGAATGAAAATAAAGTGGTGTAAAATCACTTTACAGAACTGCATGTTCATCCAATAATCTCTGCTATCATTTATTAGAATGAAGAACACTACTCCAGTCACAACAGTAAATAATTAGGTTTAGCCTAATAAGGGGTTTGTCAACATAGCGCATACACATTTTTGTGTGATTCACTTTCATTTAGAGGAATGATAAAAATAACTAACGATAAAGTTCTGAAGTACCCTCCACTGTAAAAAAAAAGATATATATATACACTCAGCTAAAGGATTCTTAGGAACACCTGTTCAATTTCTCATTAATGCAATTATCTAATCAACCAATCACATGGCAGTTGCTTCAATGTATTTAGGGGTGTGGTCCTGATCAAGACAATCTCCTGAACTCCAAACTGAATGTCAGAATGGGAAAGAAAGGTGATTTAAGCAATTTTGAGCATGGCATGGTTGTTGGTGCCAGACTGGCCAGTCTGAGTATTTCACAATCTGCTCAGTTACTGGGATTTTCACGCACAACCATTTCTAGGGTTTACAAAGAATGGTGTGAAAAGGGAAAAACATCCAGTCTGCGGCAGTCCTGTGGGCGAAAATGCCTTGTTGATGCTAGAGGTCAGAGGAGAATGGGCCGACTGATTCAAGCTGATAGAAGAGCAACTTTGGCTGAAATAACCACTCGTTACAACCGAGGTATGCAGCAAAGCATTTGTGAAGCCACAACACCCACAACCTTGAGGCAGATGGGCTACAACAGCAGAAGACCCCACCGGGTACCACTCATCTCCACTACAAATAGGAAAAAGAGGCTACAATTTGCAAGAGCTCACCAAAATTGGACAA